TAGAGAAATGTTCCAGATTGTTCTTTAGTTTTGTTTTTCTGTGACTGACCTTTTGCTTATTTGCCTGTTCAAGGTTAGATATTTCCCTTCCCTGTGGGCTCATCAGTTACAGTAAACATTTTTTAGAATCATGTTGGGGAGGGATAAACAGCTCTACCCAGTTGTCTGGCATCCCTGGAACCTTTCCACTGACTTTATAGACAATGATCTGCTTTTTGCATAAGGCTATGGTTTCAACAAAGGACAAATAAAGAAAAAGAAAATAAATATATCCTCACCAATATATTTGGTTAAGTACTTTTGTCAAAAAAATTAGAGGGAAGATTTGAATTAACGAACACAGTGAAGGCCTTGTTCTAATTGTAATAAATAAATAAATAAATAAAAAGTATATATGGGAATATATTCTACCTTTGATTTAGCAATAAACATATACTAAGGATCCAACTCTTAGTGCATGGGCTGCAGAAAGTGATCTATACTGATATTTTTATGTTGCTTTTTTGTCTCAAGAAGTCCTAACTGTACATCTAAATAGGGTAATTTTAATTAAATATTAACCACCACTGCATACTGGAATACCTAAAGGTAAAAGTTCAAAGGTTGTATGTTGTCCAAACATCATAAATGTGGGGGGTATCTTTTATCACATAAAGGAGTTTCAGAGGAATTTCTTAGACAAATTATAATAAAAACACAAGGAAGGCAACATGTTAGACAATTTATAAACTAAATTATTATGACTGTCTTATGTGTTTTTTTTTAATGTTTTTATTGATTTCAGAGAGGAAGGGAGTGGGGGAGAGATAGAAATATCAATGATGAGAATCATTAATCGGCTGCCTCCTGCATGCCCCATACTGGGAGTCAATGGAGCCCGAAACCTGGGCATGTGCCTTGACCAGGAATTGAACCAGTGGCCTCTTGGTTCCTGGATCCATGCTCAACTGCTGAGCTACACCCACCGGCCAGGCTGTCTTACATTTAAAAAGTATAGAGCAGTTAGCAATACAGAATGCTACCTTTTTCACCATTAAGAAACCAATAGTATATAGAACATAAAGCTTTCATGCCACATTAGGTCATGTGAGTGATATTTGATCAGTCAGAAACTCAGAAACTTTTACTGCGGACATGGTTTTTTCCTTGTCTTCTGAATTCTGGGAATAGCCAGGATTCTAAAAGTAGTCTTAGAAGACCTAAATTCCATTCTTTCCCGTTTTTGAATCAGACGGACTCACAAACTTAAGGAGCTCAGGCCATGAGAAGTCTTGAATTTATGACCAAGAATTAGGGGAGAGAAAGGTTTCACCTTTTTGTTTTCTTGTATCTAGCCTTCTATTGTTAAAACTACATGCTAAGTGGTTAGGAAATGTCATACAATTTTGTTCATTTTAGTCAGGTACATTGTCTTTACATTGGAGACTTTTCAGAGTTATTGTTAATAATAAAGACAACGAATTTCAGACAGACTCGGATTTATTTGTTTTTATTTTTGTTAATCCTCATTCGAGGATATTTTTCCATTGATTCTTAAAGAGAGTTGGAGGGAGGGAGAGAGAGAAACATCAATGTGTGGCACATCAATTGATTGCCTCCCCCTCATGCCTCAAGCAGGCTGGAGATTGAGCCTGCAACCAAGGTATGTCCTTGACAAGAAATGAACATGGAACCCTTCCGTTAGTGGGTAGACACTTGATTCACTGAGCCAAACCAGCTAGGGCAACATTTATTTTTTAATATTGAAATTTGTTAGCTATCTTAAGGAGTAGAGCTAAGAGAACGGCAAATTTTGTTTTTTAAGTAAAGTATAAATTGACACAGCCTTTTGGGAATCATTTTGGCAATATTTATCATATTTGAAAATGCTTATACTCTGTTCTGCAATTCAACTTCTAGGAATCTATTTTTCAAATACAATCATATGTATGCAAAGATGTTCATACATATGTGATATTCTTTGCAACATTGTTAGATATTTTAAATAATTAGAAGCAATGAAAATTTCCACTGTTTTGTAAAATGTTAAATTGTGGTACATGAAACTATGAAATACCATGCAAGATTAAAAAAGAATCAAGTGGGCAGGGACCTGTTTGCCTCAGTGGATAGAGCGTCAACCTGCGGACTGAAAGGTCCCAGGTTTGATTCTGGTCAAGGGCATGTACCTTGGTTACGGGCACATCCCCAGTGGGGGGTGTGCAAGAGGCAGCTGGTCGATGTTTCTCTCTCATCGACATTTCTAACTCTCTGTCCCTCTCAATTCCTCTCTGTGTAAAATCAATAAAATATATTAAAAAAAAAAAAAAAGAATGAAATGGATGAAAAATACTGATGTGAAAAAAAATCTCCAAAATTATCAAGTGAAAAGAGCAAATGAAAAATGGTGAGGATTTGGAATGATGAATAGAGAATTGTTATATGGTTATCATGGGCAAGGGGTGGCCTGTGAAGAAAAATAGTTATAATTTTTTAATATTTAATACTTTGAACTTTCCAAAATGAGAATGGATAATTATATACATACTAGAGGCCTGATTCGAGCACAGTGGGAGGGGTGGGGGGATAAGGAGGAGTGGGGTTCCCTCAGCCCAGCCTGCATCCCCTCTCATAATCCTGGACTGCTGATTCCTAATTGATCACCTGCCTGCCTGCTTGGTTGCCCCTAAATGCCCCTCACTACCAGCCAGGTCGCCCCCAACTGCCCCCTCCCTGCCAGCCTGGTCACTCCTAACTGTCCCCCACACCTCCACCAGCCTGGTCACCTTTTACTGTCCCTTTCCCTCCACCCACCGGCCGGCAGGCCTGGTCGCCCTTCAACAGACCACCTCTGCTGGCCTGGTCACCTCCAACTGCCCCTCCTCCCCCCGGCCGGCCTAGTCACCCCTCACTATACCCCCCTTCCAGCCTAATAGCTCCCAACTACCCCCCCTGCCAGCCTGGTCACTCCCAACTTGCCCCCCTGCTGGCCTGGTCGCCCCCAACTGCCTCCCCTGCTGGCCTGGTCACCCTATGCAACCTGCTTGTTCAGTCATTTGGTCATCCCTCACTAACTCCCCCTGGCTATTTAGTCATTTGGTTGTCCCTCACCAACCCCCTGCTGTCCTGGTCGTAGGCACACATCTTGTGAGGGTGTGAGGATCAATTTGCATATTACCTCTTTATTATATATGATTAAATATATTTTCATTGCCTTTAGAGAGAGAGGGAGGAGAGAGAGAAATATCGATGTGAGAGAAAAACATCACTCAGTTGTCCCCTCCAGGGATGAAGTTGGAGACCTGAATGGAATCTGGGATATTTTTGTGTACAGGAGGATGGTCAAACAACTGAGGCACACCAGCCAGGGTTCTTATTATGTTTTTTGTGTAATCAACAGAATCTATCCCCCATCCAACAATAGCAAAACTGTATCAGCTACTTACCTTGCTGATATTTTTAATATCCATCTGGCAATTTACAAACTGCAACTTAATATTTGGGTTTAACATACAAAACAAAATATATTTGACCTTTTGGAATGAGGGGCCGAGATCAGATACAGTACTTTAAAGGTACCTGAGATATTTGAAAATTGTTTTTAGCCAATAAGTAAATAAATAAACTGAACCACAGAATCCATTCAACCATGAAGGCTGAAACCTGATTTTCTGGGTACCCCTGCAGTGCTTGACACAGAGTAAATACTCAATAAGCATTGGCTGAATGATGGGTAAATAGATAGCTTAAATCTTTTTAGTAACATCCATTTATTTAAAAGCATACCTGGGCGACATTTCTCTCTCATCTTTATAGCTCAATCTGTATTTCTATCACCCTTCTTCTCTCTCTAAAATCAATTTAAAATTTTTGAATAAATAAAAAAATAAAAGCATACCTGTTACTTGAGCTTCTTGTCACTTGCTTTTCAAATGAGGAAGCAGAGGGAGCAGCCCTCCTTTCTGCTTAGGAGGCTAGGAATTTGGTCCAGGGCAGAGTTTTGGTGACCTGTGACTTGAAAACATCATTCAATTTCAGAACTAGATAGAATAAAAGAGAGAAAGTTACATATATAACAATATTACATAAAATTACATATAATATACATAAAATGATACATAATTTTGCTCCAACTAGAGGAAAAGGCTCTCGTGGCTGTAAATATGGGCAAATCACCGTATTCGGGTCTAAACCTTTATCTTAAAAACGGAAATCACTCTCTCATATATTTTTTGTTGGTTTTTTTTTTTTTTACATGGAGAAAAAAAGGAAAACTTTTATAAAATGCTGGCATTGGGGTGGTCATTCCGATATTGTGCAATGAAAGTCTTAGATAAATTAAATCTTAGACGGTGCGGTCGAAAAGCCCCCCCTAGACTAAAACTACAAAAAAATAAATAAAAATCAAACGTTCTCCAATTCGGTGGTCCCTTCAAACTCATTCACCTTCATCGCAGCCACACCTGGCGGCCCGGTGGGGGGGTCCCCACAGTCGACTCCCAGCGGGCACACCGGCGGGCCCCGCACCGGCTGGAGCCCCGCTGGGGTCCCGGGGAGCCCGGGCCTCCCTCCGGGGACCACAGCCCGCGCCCGGCCAGGGCCGAGCCACCGACAGCCTCGCCCACCCGGGACCATCACACCGCAGTCCGGAGCTTCTCGCGGGACATCCTCACCTTCTCTCCGAGGTCGGGTTCCGAGGTTTTCCCCGCCGGTAGAGGGAGGTAGCCCGAGCCAGACGGCCGAACGCGGGGCAGCCGGCGGGAGGGCGGGGCGGTGAGCGGGAGGCACTAGGCGCGCGCTCCCGCGGACGCCGGAGGGAGACCGGGGTGGGCAGGCGGGCGGGGCGCACGCGCGCGCCGGGACCAGGGACGGGAGGCGGAGTCTTCGCAAACCCGCCGGAAGAGGGCGCCCTGGAGCCGGGATGCAGGCCGACAGGGGGCGTGGCCAGTGGGGGGAGGGCGTCGGCGCTAGGGGACGGGGCGGGGCGGGGCGGGGCGAGGCGAGGCGGGGACGCGCTTGCGGGGTGGGGAAGGCGGGGGCGCGGCGGTGGCGGGAGCGTCCCTGGTTTCCGCCCCTGTTTCCCACTCTCCTTCCACCTCCGATCGCCGGGGCTGTGGACAGGCTCGGCTGACCCGGCCCCCCGGAGCCGCCCTGCTGCTGCCGCTTCCTCCCTCCGCTCCGCTCGCGGTGAGCTGCCTGGCCGTCTCCGCGCTGTGCGCTCCCCCGTCTGGGCCATGGATGGGTAAGTGCCGGGCGGCGCGGCGCGGAGGGTCGTGCGGGGCTGCGCTGGCTCGTCCCGCTTCCCTTGGGCTCCGGGTCCGGGCGCGCCGAGGCCGGGGAGCTGGGTGCGGCACCGGCGGCGGCGATCGGAGGAGCGGCCCCGGCTGGCCGAGCCCGACGGACGGCCGGGCTTCCGGGCGCCTCCTAGGGGAGCTCGGGTTGCGGAGGGGCGGTCCGCCCCAGCCTCGCCTTCCCCCCTCCCCCGGGGGGCGCCCCCGTGACATCCGCCCCGCACACCGGGAAGTGGAGGAAACCCCGGGGGAGCCGCCGGCCGGGGACCGGGGACCGGGGATCGGGGATCGGGGAGCCCTGCCCGGCCTCTCTCGACACTTCCTCTCTGAAAATGGTGCGCGGCGCCGGGGGAGGCGGAGGGAGGCGGCGCTCGGGGCGGGCGCCCTCCAGCTCGCTCCCTCGCTCGCTCGCTCGGGGAGTCGCTGTTTACCGGCGAGGCGGGGCGGGCGCCGGGGCTGCTTCCCCGGGCGGGCGGGGAGGCGAGCGGCCGCGGGGAGCGAGGCGGACGGGCGAGGGCGCGCGTCGGGACACGTCTGGGCGGCGACCCGGCCCCGGAGCCAGGGCCCCACGCGGGGTTCGGCGCGCGGGGTGGGGGGTGGGGGGGACCCGGCCGCGGCCCCCGACGGCTGGCTGGGAGCCGTGTGTGTTCATTGATCGCTGTCTACCGGGGCGTTTGGAGAACCGGGGACGCCTCCTTCCCCCCCCCCGCCCCCTCCCTCGAGAAACTTGGTGAATTCCCTGCCATGTATGCAAAATAATTGTATAAGTGCAATTTCCGGGGAGCCTTCAAACGCGGAGTGAACGAGGTCTGCAATCGAAGTAAAAAAAAGATACAGAATTACCGACATCAGTAGTCCTCTGGGGGAGTCAGTGACAACGGGGTGGGAACCTGACAGATATTTTAATGTTTAAAAGGAAACAGCTGGATGAGGATCTGCGTGAATTGAAGGTTGTAGTATATGTACATGAAGCACTTTTTAAAAATTTTCCAGCTCGGTGAGCACCTGCAGATCACTTATGTAGGCATTCGAAGCTTTGTTAGGACTCTTAGGTGCTTTTGAGGCTACGATGTCTGTAAACCCCTCGGTTGTAGAATATGTAGAAACATATTTTGAAACATAGTTTGAAACAGTAAAAGCCTGTACATGTTGCCATGTAGTCCATGATTGTCAATGCTGTGTAAAGACGGTGGGATCTTAGGACAATTTTTACCTTCATTAGATCTCATTTATCCTAGTTTCGTAATATGAAGTCTACTAAATGATATAGTGGGTTAACTCATTTGAATGCATATTGTGCACTGCCACAGACATTAGACAAAGTTCAGTTTTACATTTCACTTATGGTTGGGTGTTCTTTCAAGTATTTTTTATTTAATTGATTAACTATTGTTTAATTGGAGCTTCTCTGGGAGATTTGTTGAAAATTCATTTCGCATCACCTCATTCAATTACACTTTGTACGTGTGCAACAATTTGCTATTTTGTGTAATGATGCCACTGGTTTCATTTGGGAAGGCTGTGAAGTTAGTGTTTCATTATGTATAGTGAATTGTAAAGCGGTTTGACTTGAGATATGAAAGTAGGTTAGCTTTTTGTATTGGAAAATTTAAAATAGAGAATAATATAGAGGACTGTTGGGTTATGCATTTTGGCTGTTAAATTCTTGGACAACATGACGTGCAAGCTTACTATTTTGGACAGTGTTTTAAGTTCTGTCCACTGTATGTGTGGTTTTAGAGCTAAGAATGAGTTTAATGATTTAAATAAGGGCAATAAGGTACTGAAAGGTAAGTTCATTTACTTTGTAACAGGACCAATACCACAGTATATTACATAGTCTCTTTTTTATGCACAAACATCAGTTATTTATCACATTTAAAATTTAGACAAATGAATTTCAAGTTTCAAAAGTTTATAAGGAAAAATAAGTCTACATGGTTATTGTTTAAAACAATTAAATTTGCATCATTAAACAGTCCAGAGTCATACATTTATTTACTTTTATTATGTAATGATATTATGGGTTATTAACAATATATAGAACTTACAGTTTACTTTTAAGAGATATGTAGACAAACTTAAGTGAAGACAGTTTCTTTGGACTTAGAAGAGATGGATTTTTGTTCAGCAGAACTTTATAGGGGTTTTTACACCTTGGTGTTAAGGAATGTGGTTTTGACACAGTGAATTTTGGCTTTCAGGAGGGTAATTAAATTTCTACATCTTCCCACAGCCTGAAAAAGATCCTCTTTCATTATTTTGAATAGTTAGAAAACAACAAACCACCAGTCAACATCTTTCTAGTTCCTCCTCAAATGCCATTGCCGTGTGTGTGTGTGTGTGTGTGTGTGTGTGTGTGTGTGTCTCTACGTGTGTGTTACTTTCCTCTTGAGGTAATTTATATTTAAAGTTTTTTCCTAGTTAACTTTTATTTAAATATACAGTTTATTTTAAGTTAAATTAACTGTTACTATTCTTAAAATTTTATATTTGTCTCAGATGTATATCATAGTGGTTAGACAATTATGTAATTTACAAAGTGATCCTCCAACACAGATTTGATGTTGTAGATTTTATTTAAAAGCCAGTCTTTGAAAAGTTTGATATCTGAAATTTGATGTGTTCTGAGAGACTATCTTAGCTGAATTTTGATAAGCTCTTTGGGTGGTATATGCAAATTTGCTAAATAGCTACTATTTCTGTAAGTCCACTCACTGGTTTTGTTTCATTTAAAATTTAGACTGGTCATTTATACCAGTGATTTAAGAGAATGAATTTTGGTGATTTTAAGTTTTGGTTTGGATTTATTAAAAAGAGGTAAATGGGTAAACATAATCATTTTATTAAAGCACAACTATACTCTCCTAAGCACTAAAAGAGAATTTGATTTATTCGTTGTTTCTCACACTTCTGTTGAAGCTTTGCTTTTACGTCATGCTTTTGCTAGGCTGTCCCATCACTTTTCTTTGTATTAACATTTCACAACTCATGCATTCTTATTTTTGTTATTTTTATTATGATGCCTTTTCTTTTTTTTTTCTTTAATCTTATTATCTGTCTTTTAAAAACTTGTTCTCTAACTTTGTTTTCCATTTTCTCTTTTACTTTTTCCATACAGTGTTGTTACAGATCTTATAGCAGTCGGTTTAAAGGTAGGAATCTTTTACTATCCTTTAATAAGCATTTTTAAATTTTAGTTTTGGCATTCTTTTTTCCAATGGTGAAATCATCTCACCTATTCATAAAATGATATGTTTTACTGTATGATAACAATCTCTTATTTTCACGTAGCTCCATACTAAGTGCTCTTATAGTTATTTTTGGATTTTATATATTTATTAAGAGAGGCCACAATATTATCTTGTGTATCTAAAATGTGAACAAAAAGTTTAGCCCAAAGTTTCACTTGAACCATCATAGTGGTTGTGTATTTTGTTTTGTTTTAGCAGTTAAATGTAACCTAGGTTCAGATTTATTTTGCTATCATGTGTGGGTTTTTTTTTTTATATCTTCTCTTGGGTATGCTTATAAGTAATACAATTATAACAGCAGCTGAAGTTTCTTCAATTTATACTATGTACCAGCTGCTTTACATGTATTTTCACTAATTATTATAACAGTTCTTCAAGGTAGGTATTAATATTCCCATTTTAGAGATGAAAAAGTAGATTCAGAAAATTTGTATTCAAGGCATAGTGCACCAGAGTTTAAACCCATGTCCTCCTGGCTCCCCCCCCCCCCCCCCAACCCCTCCCATTATATCTAGCTGCCAATAATGAGGATTGAGGATTCTGTCTTAAAGGTGAAGGGCATCAGAGCTGGATAATTAATATTTCACAGTAACACTCCTAAGTTATGTCATTTTAGTTTTATTAAAGTCTTCTTATTTATTTGATTATATAGAATAAATCAAATAAGCAGTGTTCAACAACATGAGGCTTTTACAGTATAAATGGGCATTTTAAGGTACCCTTTAGCAGTTTGGTGTTTGGTATAATTGAGTAGAGAACTTTGTTCTAGAAGCCACTTACAGTTCAGATCAGTGTAGAAAATAGAAAGAAATAATTCATGGTTATATTATATGTATTTTATATAACATTGTTACAATACTTTTTATCTGTCATCTCACTAGCAGTTTCCACACTCCCGTTGGCATTTATTGGATCTGTTAGTGGTGTTTATATTCTTAAAACCTTAAAAAATAAGCATTAGTACAGCATATAGCATTTGAGATTAACAATACTATGTCAAAGATTACATAATTGGGAACTATTGCTTATATTATCTTTCAAAGTTGATGGAGTTATTTGGCAAATTTTGAACATATTTTATAACTTGAAAATAAATGGAAGCGTTCTTTGGTGAGATGTTGTTTTTTTCTGATATACTTAAGTCACTTTCTCATTTGGGGATGATAGAGATTAGAAATAGCAGGAAGGAATATTTAAAGACCAATGTTGTTTTTGTCTTATCAGAAATGTAACGTTAACGATTCTAGAATTTGGTAAAAAATGAATTCATGAGGCATTTTAAAAACTTAATCATTTTGGATTGAGGAATTATGCTTCAAGGATTGTCATGCCTATTTTCTTGTGGAGAAAAAATATATTTTGATGATAACTAAAAGAAAAATTTGAATGTTAGGCACAGGAACTGGATTTGAATACATGATTTGGGTTTCTGACTACCTTTTTTTGCAGCAAGCACTTTAAAAACAAAGATCAGATCCTACTCTGAAGAAAAGATAAGTTGATTAGTTGATTCACTAGGCAGTCTATACTTTTATAGCATTAAATACTATAAAATAGGTTCAGAAAATTTGTGTTTAAGGCATGGTGCTTTGAATAAAAAAGATTTCATATAGAGAGATTTCTCATAAGATATTCTATTTCCTTGGTTCCCATCTAAGAAAGTTTAGTTACCTAGTAATAGGCCAGTAAGACTCATATTTTATCTAGATTACTAGAGGCCTGGTGCATGAAATTAGTGCACTGAGGTTAGGAGTCCCTCAGCCCAGCCTGTGCCTTTTTGCAGTTCAGGAGCCCTCTGGGAGTACCTGACTGCCATGAGGCCCACCCCTGCCCCTGCACTTGCCTGCTGTGAGCCCAGCTCAGGGCTTCTGGCTGAGCGTCGCTCTCCCTGTGGGAGCGCACTGACCACCAGGGGTCAACTCCTGCATTGAGCACCTGCCTTCTGGTGGTAAGTGCGTGTCATAGCGACCAGTTGTTCTGACCAATCTGCATATTAGCCTTTTATTATATAGAATATAAACCAAAATTAGTGAATTTAAATAAGTCTTTTAAAGTGCTGGTTATTTATCTTCCTCTATTTGCTGTCTGAATATAATGGCTAAACAAATAGTTTTAGCTAATGCCAAGAGTGGATTCCATATGTTGCTTCATAGGGGTCAAGAGTTTGGGATCCTTGCTCATACTTGGTATTGCTAGTCTTTTACATTAGCCATTCTAGTGGGTTTAACTCGAATTTGCGTTGACCTTTCGTGCTTGAACCCTTTCATATGATCATTAGCCATTCACTTACCATTTTTCTGTGAATGTTAAGTTTTTTGCCTATTCTTTTCAAGTAGGTTTCTTGTAGATAACATATAGGTAGGTCTTTTTTAAGCCACTCTGACAATCTCTTTTAGTTGGTATTTGTAGACCACGCTTCAGGGTATGATTAATTTAGTTGGATTAATATTTACCTTTTTTACATAACTGTTTTCTATTTATTGACTTGTTTTTATTTTCTTCCTCCTATTATTTTTTTGCCTTCTGGTTTTTATTGAGTATTTTGTATGATTTTTTTTATCCTCTCTTAGCATATTAATTCTACTTCCTTTAAGCATTGTTTAGTGGTGGTCCTTTACATTTTAGTGGTTGCGATATACATTTATAACTCATTTAAGTCCATTTTCAAGAAATAACACTATATTGCTTTGTGTGTAGTGTAGGTACAATACTTTAGAGCATAACCAATGTCTTCTTATTGTCCTTTATTCATTGTTATTCATCATTTCACTTAATCATATGCAATTATCACCCAATACATTGTTTAATATTATTGCGTTAAATGAAGTTATCTTTTAGATCATTTAGGAATAAGTGTAAAATAATTTATTTTACCTTCATTTATTTCTTATTCAACAGTCTTTTTTTCCTTATGTAGGTCCAAGTTTTTGATTTATATAATTTTGCTTTTCTCCAAAGAATTTTTTAAAATGTGTCTTGCAGAATCTACTGACAATAAATTCCCTTGGTTTTTGAGAAAGTCTTTATTCCTCCTTTACTTTTTTTTCATTTTAATTTCCTTATTGATTGAGGTATTACATATTTGTCCTCATCCCCCCATTACCTTCCCAATCACCCTCCCCCCACCTTACTGCCTTCACCCCCTGATGTCAGTGTCCACTATTTAGGCTTATATGCATGCATACAAGTCCTTTGGTTGATCTCTCCCCCTTATCCTCACCCTCCCCTAGCTTTCCTCTGAGGTTTGACAGTCTGATCATGCTTCCCTGTCTCTGGATCTGCTTTTGTTTGAAGGATACTTTTTATATAGATTCTAGGTTGGTGGGGTTTTTTGGGTGTTTTTTTTCTCCCTTAAAATTAACTTTAAATATTTCACTCCACTTTCTTTCTGCTTGTATGGTTTCTGTTGAGAGAGAAACATGTATAATTCTTATCTGTATTCCTCTATAGATACGGTGGTTTTTCTCCCCCAAGACTTTTCTCCTTGTTTTTGGGTTCCTGAAATTTGAATAATATGTTTTAAATAAATTTAAAATTTATTGGGGTGACATTGGTTAATAGGATCATATATGTTTCAAGTTTACATCTCAATACAAGATCTGTATATTGCACTCTGTGCCCACCATCCAAAGTTCACCTTGGTAAGATTGGCAATATCAAGTATGAGCAAGTTGGGCACACAAAAATGTATCCCATTTTTCTCCGCTATGTAACTGGTATTTATTGTCAATATGTACAAAATACATTGCATATTGACTTTGTAACTTACGATATAGCTATGTTATTAGTTTTCTTAATTCCTTAGAATTTTTATGTATATGATCATGCATCTATGAATATTATTTTACTTCTTCCTTATCAATCTGAATGAGATATTTTATTTCTTGCCTTAATGTACCATTTAGGACCTCCAGTATAATGCTGATAGAGATGATAACATCCTTAATCTCATTCCTGCTTTGAAGGGAAAGTAGTCTTTAGTTGTACATTTTTCTTAGATGCCTTTTTTCAGGTTCAGAAAATTCTTTTCTATATCTCATTTGCTATTTTTGGGTATCATGAATGGATGTTGAATTTGGATCTTTCAAGATTTGTATATTTTAGCTAAGTTGTTATGGGCATAAAGTTGTTCACAATATTTCTTTATTTTTAATTTCCCTTTGATCTGGAATGTTTCTATATTTTTAGTCCTGATATTGGTAATGTGTATAGTTCCCTGCCTCCCACCACCCATTGGTTCTAGCTAGAGGCTTTTAAATATTACTGATCTCTTTAAAAGCCAACTTTTGGTTTTACTTCTGTATTTTGGTTGATTCTTCTATTTAATCAGTTTCACTCTTTATTATTTCCTTCCTATTTATGTTGGGTTTAATATGTGTGTTTTTTTTCTCTTTTAAAAAATATATAGTTTATTGATTTTTTACAGAGAGGGAGGGAGAGGGATAGAGAGTTAGAAATATCAATGAGAGAGAAACATCAATCAGCTGCCTCTCGCATGCCCCTTACTGGAATCAAACCTGGGACTGAGCCAAACCGGTCAGGGCATTAATTTGTTTTTCTTGACTTGAATTTTTTGTTTGTTTGTTTTACAGCCTAAAACAACATTTATTATTGTTAAGATTTAGCTAACGTTTTCTGTGAGTCAGGAATATGGGCCTGCCATAGCTGGGTCCTCTGGCTCTGGGGCTAAGGCTGCTATCAAGGTATTAGTAGATGTTGCAGTCATCTTCTGGGGACGAAATCTACTTCCAAGCTCACTCAGATGGCTACGGCAGAATTATTTACTAAGTCAAAGGATTAATTTTGAAGGTAATTTATGAAGATAGAATTTTTAGACATACATAGCCCTAGAATGTTTACATTCTGTTTACCATCATTTAGGTAGTTGTTTTAAGGATGTA